AGTGCAAATACACATATACCTGCCCCAAGCTCCTGTACTCTTCTATGCTTTCCCTGCTGGAAAGCATGACAGCCCCAGGCCTAGCTAGACTGAGGATGTCCCATAAGTCTGTCCTTCCCTAAAGAGCAAGCAGAGGCTGCTATGGCAATAGCATATTATCCTGACTTACTGAGAGGAGGGGCCTAATGATAAAAGATACTTCCCTTGCAGTTTGATACCTACTCTCTGAACAGCTGCCATTGCATGTGGAATATTACCAACACCTTGGATAATAAGCAGTATTCACAAAATAGAGTTGTGACTTCAGGAGGTCCAGATTAATGGAGAGAAAAAACACAGCCTGGAATCTAGACTTCTGGAAAACAGATAACTCCAACTTTTCTAAAACAGGTAAGAGAAAGATTTAATAAATATTCATTGTACCTGTACTCCCCAAAGCAATGCTTTTTCCTATGTAGTTAATATACAGTGATTAATACCTACAAATATGTGTAAATGTTATATTCTTACAAGAATATTTTCATAAACACTGTCTTCAGTAGGCAAATTCTTCCACTTTCAACTTTCCTTCTACTTAGCATGTGTTTGCCATACAGGACTCAATTAACTCTCAAGCAGGGTTCATGAACATAATTTTTGAAAGAAAGAAACAGTACTTTAATCACAATACTGATATATAAAAATGAAAGGAATTTGATATTAGCACAATCTTCTTACCTAACTGCATACAAATGCTGCAGATATTACTTATTGTTCCCAGTATATATAATACGCTAAACGCAGTTAAACTAAAATTTGTTAAATGATCCACCTAATGCTCACATTGCTTTATATATCCTTTCATATCAATTCAGTTGAAATAAAAATGGATTGTATCAGATGATTACCTAACAGGTAAGTTGTTAAAGTAAAAATTGCAAATAATGTTGGTTATTTTTTTATAACAAGACCTAGGACTCTGTATAATGCTTTTTTTTCCTAATAGAATGAGCTAAAAGGTTACATTTTGAAAGCACACATTACAGAAATATTATGGAGTATGAATGGTCAGAAATTTGGAAAACCTATCTAGTAACTGGAATAGCTTAAAATACAATTCCAAACAGCCCAACAAAATTCTCAGAGCAATTCCAGAAAAATAAAACAGTTCATGTAAAATTAGGGCTTTTACTATAAAGAATAGCAAACAAAAAGTAGCAAAGGGCAAAGAGAGTAGATGAGGGATAATATTGCACAAAATAAGCTTTTGACTTGTCTAAACTTTCTTTTTTGTTGTTTTTTTTACTTCAGGAAAAATTAGTTGCTTATTATGAACTTGTTAAAAATGTAAGATAAACCCTGACAGGTATGACAGAGAAGAACATGGTTATTAGGATATATTTGCACATAAAAATTATATACTTTAAAAATCCCAAATAAATGTGTTAAGCCTAATTGACCTTTGCAAATGCAAGTTAAATGCCATATGAATGACCACCTGTTATAAACTGTGAATTAACTATATACAAAAATCAATCAAGATTCTCCTATCATAGTGTTTCCTAGCTCCACCAGAAGTTTCCTCAAAACGTAATTTTTTACTGGAAACAAGTCTTTTATCTGCTCCAAGGCTTTGGAGACCACATCAGTGGTACTAAGTGAACACAGGGTAGAAGAGCATTTAGGGTCCTGCAACAAACCAGGCAGTAACCAACCAGGATTTTTTTCAGTCCAAGAGAAAAGACAACTCAATAGGCAGATACAAAAAATCAAGTCAAACAGGTCACTTTTTTAAAAACTAAAGTTTGTCTAGTATATTTAGATCCATAGCCCATAAGATGGTTGCACTCATTAAATTGCAGAAGCAGAACCAAGAAAAACAGCAAGTTCTTACCTATGCATTTAGCATGCTTTCTTGTCTTAATTATGAGTGATGGAAACCATAAGCTTCAACCATTTCCCGAACACACCTGTAATATTTTTATACTAAGCTCTTCATTGAATCAGATGTACTCCTTTAATTCTGGGCATGCCATCAAGGGATTGCTCTTTCTGCCCACTTAGTGCTCAAGGTCATCTTCATCAATGACTGAAACTGTTCAACTGAAAAATTAACCTCAATAAATGGGAAGTATTTTTTAACCTTGAAAACCAGTTCTACTTTCATAAAAGTTTGGCTGGTCTGGTTTTAGACAGCACGACCAACATATGCACATTATAACGCCATGGTGCTGCTGCTTATTCCACCCCAATATGCATATGTGTGTCTGCTCGCTTTGCTTAAGAATACATGGACTTAGAAGTGAATGCTGTAATGTTCAGAAAAAGAAAGTTTTCTTAAAATACAGATGCAAAATTTTGGATTCAAAATGTACTAGTCATATCCTGTAACTTGAGTGATTCTGTTGGAGCTAAGACAGAAGATTTGCTATTGTCTGATGTAAAAAAATGTCACTTCTGAAAAATTATTACAGCACATATCTTCTGGACATCAGGGTAGCTCCAATGGCTTCAGCATAGAGCAGGGCATGCTGCCTGTCTTCCTGTATGCAGTCAGACTGCATCCTTGATCGCATAAGGACTTAAGTTCTTCTGATGGAAGACCAGGAGATCCCGGAATAGCACCAAGCTGGGGGTCAGACGCCTTGTGTTTTCCTCTTGCTTATTAAGTTAACTCAGGAAAAGTTCTTTTTATCTCTGCACCTGCTCCTCTGTGTCCACCTTGTAAGTCACTAATTTCAATTGCAAAGCACAGTTTCAAGAATCTAGTCTTATTTATGGTCTCTAAGTTCTACTACAATACAAAGAATTAACAGGAGACAGGAAAAACATTTTAGAAAATTCAGATAGGACTCCCAAGTCAGGCATGGGGGAAATAACCTACACAAACAGACATTTTTTCTAATGACTCTCTGAGCTCCAAATGCACTTTACACAGCTGGGCAGCTCCATCTCCTCCAGCTACAAAACCAACTTCATACAGCTCAGCCCTGAGTGCAGCCCAGTAAACCGAAGGTGATGAAGGAGATAGGGGATTTGTTTTGTTCAAGTCTGTGACTGCCCTAACACAGTTGTAAGGCTGCACATCCAGACTTTATCCGCCCAACTTAGAGCAAAGCAGAGCAGGTGGCACAGCTGTTGGCCTCCCTCTATTTAGACCTACCTACAGCCCTTGGCCAGAAGCTTAATAAGATCAGGAACCTGGCATTATAATTCCCTTGTGCAGCTATGGCCATACTGTTTGTAGCCAGTTAGGACTTATTTATACCATAAACACAACTTGGAATCAAGTGTCTGGTGCCTTCATATATAAGTACTGAAAAGGAAGGCAGAGAGGTAGGAAATGCCATTTAATTCCAAGAACACACAAACTCTAGCCAAGAGGATTTTAAGAAAATATAAATTTCCTATACCTATTCAAACTACTTTTAATTGAACATACCATGAGAAAATGTTACTTAGCTATGTTTCATATTTTTAAGAATTTACAGGGATATCTTATAAATTTCAGTGGAAGAAAATAATTACACAGTTTGCATAATTTTTTATATTCACAAAGGCTAAGGAGCAGGGAACGTATAGCTACCTTAGGTTAAAGTCCAGTGCTTCAATACTTTAAAAAATAAATTTATAGAACGAACACTCCCCACCTGTGAAATGCATTGAGTAGAACAGATGGTTTTCTATCTACATAATTTCCTGAAAGTCATTTGACTGCCTTTGTTGCTCAGCTTCTAGAGAAACCACTTTCCTTCCTTAGTTTTGTTGAGTACAGTCTAAGCCAGCTTTTTGTCAGCTAACTGAATGGACTATAAATTTGCAAAGCACAATAATGCAGTCTTTATTTAGGAGGTCTTCACTGCAGCTTCTGTTTGTTATATGTTGATCCATGTATGTGAACATGCCTTTGGAAAAGTCTTATTGTATTAAACTTGACATGAAAGCAAAGAATTACATTAGGAAAAAAAACATTATTGCCAACTTAATCGTTGAAAATGTTTCAAAATTTTCAATGAACCAATAACTATCTGAAAAGGTCCTTTCTTCCACTCAAAGTGTGGCCTGTAGTGATGAAAATTTTATTCTGTCATCCTAGCAAGCACTGTAGTGTACTCTGATCTACAAATTGCTGTTTGGATGATCCTCATACAAAGCTTCTACTTGGACAGGCCTCACAGTTTGGCATCGTTTGGAAATTTTCTAGAAACACAGCAAACTGCAATTGGTGACAGCTCATTCTGACAGAATATTCCAGCCTTTGGTTTTATTAGGAGTAAAAAAATAATTAGAATTAAGCATAAGACTTTATAAGCATTAAAAATGTGCTTTGAAAATATACTACAGATCTATATTCCACGTATTCCATAATGGGAATTGATACAAAGTAGGCCGTGAAGTTAGACAAAAAGAATATTCTCTAACCCTACCAAAGCACAATCTTAATCCTGGGACAAATATTTACAGAAGAAAATCAACAAAAAGGGTCAAAACAAGCACGTTGTCTAGCACTTTAGATTGAAAACCTTCGTCTTGATGCTGTTTTCTTGATCTCAGCCACAGCTCACTGCACAGCTGCCCACATGAAACTTGCCCCTAGGCCCCATATGGATGCTCAAGGCAACCAAAGCAATGATGGAATGAGCATGGGCAATCACTGGCCTCCCGTCACCTCTTCTGCTTTTTCCAAAGATAGATACAAACACATTAGTGGCCAAGGGACACTACTCCCACTTGAAAATGTACACTTTTTTCCTCACATCCATCATACACTACAGTAAATAGTAGAGAGGAAAGTATATAAAGCTTTGCATACAAGCTCATGAAGATCTGCTTGTGTGGGTGTTGTAGAGTAAGCTGTGTTACCTACTTGGAGTTTACATTTTTTTCAGATAGAGAAGAGAGTTTGTATATTATACTATGTTCTGAACTCTTTTACTAGTTCAAACACTGAATTCAACTTATTATTTTTGAATTTTAAATGCAATGTATCCAACTCAATTTTTATTTTAAAGGCTGTTGGTCTTTCTTTCCCCTTCAGGTGTATTCCATGGACAGACGATGAATGGCACATGCATTACTTTCATTTGCAACAGAAATCCTAATCTGGAGTGGTACTGTTATTTGCTGATTCTGGTTTGCCTTTTCACTTTATTAACAGGATTCCTAGGCAACATACTTGCACTACGACATTATGTTTACTGCATGAAGACATGGACTACCAATACCATATTTCTCTTTAATTTGGCACTGTGTGACTTTACTTGGACTCTCATGGCACCTTTTTCAGTATATTATAATATCCAGAAGTTTGCTGTCTATTTCAGTCAACTGTTTTATCAGATCATAGAACTATTTTTTAGTATTAATATCTACGGAAGTGTGTATTTCCTGACACTCATCAGTTTTGACAGATACATAGGTGCTGTTCATCCCATCAGTTCATTGACATGGTGGGACAAAGAAAAGGCTGTGTTCTGCACCGTTGGGGTATGGATCTTCATAGCAATTGCATCGCTGCCTGAGGTGTACTGCACAGTTGCAGCTAGAAGACAGCACGACATCATAAATTACCTGGATAGCACCCAACAACCACTACAATTTGCCACGCCATTCACATTCTCCAAAATTGTATTGAGATTCCTAATTCCAGTCACAGTCATCTTTACATGCTATATGTTGACTCTGAGAGCATTACTACAATTCAGTAAACGTCAGCAAAGAAGGAACAGACTTGTTAGGCCTCTGTTACTGATTTCAGCTGCGATGATTGTGTTCGCTGTTTCTGTCATACCTTACCATGTTATGATGATGGTGATACTAATTTACAGAATTAATTGTCAACCACCCTGTGGGAATATAAGCACATTAAGTGTCATTTACAAAGTCACAAAGATCACCTGCGGCATCAACAGTTGCCTTGACCCAATCATTTTTACAATCGCAAATAAGACATTCTGTCAAAGAATTAGAAGTATAAAATGTCATCCCAAATGCCAGTACTCATGTTGTCTGACAGGAAGGGTAAGGGACATCATTCTGTCCCTGAGAACAATGACTTAAACACCAGTCTACAAAGAATTGCATCTCCAACTGCTCTTTCGGCTTTGTGTCACCAGACTCATTTCATATTTGGTCTCCCATATAGTACAGATATCTCTTGAATAAGCAAGAATACACAGAAATGTAGAGTAAGATTTAACATGACAAGAAACACTAGCAGCTCCTAGCTTAACAGAATTGGCATTTTAAATATTGTTGTCATATCCTAATTTATTGTGAAACAATACTTCTATCTGTATGTACATGCAACATGGAATAAAAAATGATGAAAAGTTCTAAGTAGCTTCTTTAATTCTGGGCGAGAAAAATACAGCCAGATTAAGAGCAGTGTTGAGAAGACTCCTTTTAGTTACTGTTAATTATTTCTTCATCTGTTTGTAAGTGCTTCTGTGATTGTGATTGTGCAATTAATAACTGTCAGAATGCTTACAGCTGAACTGCTTGAGCATATGCAGAGAGGCTTTCTACAAGTACTTCATTTTAATGCTGCTTGCAATAGAATTCCAGCGGCAGTGGGACCTCATTAACCCAGGAAAGTGCAGCACATTTCCAAAAACAAACAAACAAAAAATAAATAAAGTCCCTGAGGATAGTCAGAGCCACAGTGAATCTGCTCATGAAATAAACAGGCATGGATTAGAGAGCTGTGCTAAGTCTTCTCCCAGGCAGCAGGGGCTCCCCCAACATCGGGCAACTACAGCTGTTTCTTATTAGTGCTCTGCTTCAGGGGAGCCCCTGTTCTGCCTTGAACTCTGAACTTCTCTACAGGGAGAAGTCTGCACCGAAAAAGCTCTGAAATAGAAAGGCGGCTGAGCTGCAAGAAGGGTAAGAGATGCCACTACTCAGAATGCTTCTTCTCTTGTTCTTTTGGGGTCTTAGCATCACAGTTTCAGGACAGTCCAAGATAATTAGACTACAATACATTTTAGTCATTCAACCAGCACAACAGTCATCAGAACATCCACCTTCAAGAGTCATTAAATACGTGTTCTTTCATCTTACTCTATGGGCAAAATGATCATGTTCCAATAATCAGCCACCTGCTGACTTGTTTTCTTGCCAAGTTCCACACATTACCTTGTTAATTATGAAAGCCCGTGTATCAGTGAGCACATTAACTTTGCGCTCAAAGTTACTGATGACAAAATAGATTTTAATATACTTTATACAGTCTTAATTCTTTAATTTCCACAGTTTTATTATAATTTTCTCTTTGTATTAGAAAATTATACCTACATGGGTATTCAATCTCTCTCGTTCTATATTTCAATTGTATTGTCTAAATATATACATATAAGATCAAGAAAAATGTTTTTTTAAAATTGTCTGTGACAAGAAAAGAATCTGGTCCTGATAATCTGAAACACTTTACAGGTGTTGGGATATACTACTACACTCACAAAATCCCAGAGAAAAATTGCATGCCTGTGTCTGTACTTACCTCATTCTAAGTACTGCTTCTTTCCTTTTATATTTCTTAGTATTTCAATCTTTCTTACTTTAAAAGAAAAATATTTTTAATTGTGTATTGGAAAGATGCCTCCGTGTCTGTTTACCTCTATTGTCTGTGTCCACAATTTCTATAAAGCTCATTAATTATCTATCAATAAAGCCATCTGTAACAGAGGTCCCAAGATGCTCATACAAATAAGACAAAAAGAAGAAAAAAAAGAGAAGAAATAACCTCATGCTTCTAATAAGATTAGTCTCAACCAACCCTGAATAATGAAGAACAGAAGGAAAAATAGCAGATAAGGGCATTGCTACAAAACACATCTGTGCCACAGAGCCTCTGTTGGCTGTTGTCCCAGCCTGGACATCTCACACACCATGCCTTTGTCCTGGGCTGAGTCTAAAAGCACAGCATAAACTTTAAATAAATATCCTTCCATCTCTTACCCTAAACTATTCCTGTTTCTCATGATACTCAGCAATGAATACAAGCTAGTAGCTGATAAGGGTTCTAGAAATTGTTTTCCTCGTTATAAATGGTTATATAATCAATTAAATATAGTTTTAAAAAGCATTTTTGTTCAACTAGGCTGATCTAATGCTAATGTTGCCCTGATTGAAGCCAAAAGTTTTCTGCAAAGTAAGAGTTAAAAGGCACAAGACATCTGTTCATATTCACTTGCTTGTATTTTTAGTTTGAAGTACATCCTCCTAAAATGTTGTATTACAATATTACCTGGATAGAATGACACAAACAAATGAAATTAAATGTTTATTCCATTTTGCTACAATAAGTGAACAATAAACTAAACAGCCAAGAGCCAAAGTAAGCATCTTCTACTATGACGAGTATGTTGCAATATTGGATTCTCACAGATCTTTGTTTGGATTAAATCTGAGGACGTGGTATCCAGTTAAATACCTAACTATTATGACTTTGAACACATCATTGTAATAATTTATTAGCCTACAAAACTGACTGCAAGGTCTAGGTAGCTTTTGTGTACCTTATATAGATATTCTAACATCTTCCTAATACATTCAATGAACACAAGATAGACCATGGCCTGAAAGATTTGACCTTTTATGTATGTGCTCAGCTGCTGCCAGAGAAAAAACTTTCTCATGTACTATTGTACATTCAGCAGTGTTAGGTAAGCAAAAATTGTTAAACCAAAATTCTCTAAGTTGAAGGGATAAATTTTGCTACAGATTTCCCAAAGTTGCTAAGGAAAGCAATCTTTATATTCTATATTTTTCTTTGTAATACATTCATCTCAGAGAGAAACTACTGAAATGTTTATTTATTAAGACAGCTTAAGAGCTTATTTTTTTAAATAAAAATGTTCAGATGTGCCTAAAAGTTTGGTTTCTCTTCAAGATATATAAATGAGTGTATTCTGATATCAAAGTTTTTATTTGCCATGCCTCAGAATCACCTCACTTGGCAAAAAACTGTAACAATACCACAATTCTATTAAAATACTTCACTATTCTACATTGCTTTCATCTGTGGAAGTCAAATCTCTTTAGGCAGGAGAAAAAAATATGCTTAGACTGATTCTACAGCTGGAAGAACCACAGCAGAGGCAGGTGATATGGTCCATCATCTGCCTTGTAAAGAAATGTAGCTTCTCTGCTCCTGCTTTAGAGAGACATCCAAGACTCTGAGTGGCCAAGTCTCCCTGTGCTCTGCCTGGAGCCTGCAATCAGGAGATGATGGGATGTGCTGGCCTCCTGCAGGGACCTATCAAATCTATAGCCCTCCCAAGTTCTCTTCTCAGGACTTCTCCCAGCTTGGCACTTGCTGGCTCAGTCCCTTCCACTTCACATGACTCAGCACAGACGGGGCTTCCTCCAGCTGGGAAAGGTGAACCTTAATCAGGGAGCACTGCAGTTCTCAGCTTTTGCAGTCTAAGGTAAAATGCAGGTGACAGTCAAGGTCTCAGCTACAGACCCAGCTAGAAAACTGATGTCCTCACACAGAACATTGTGTGCTAAGACAAAGGGAACTTAGGATCTCTGGTTTCCCACCAGTTCAGCCAACACTGGTCAGAAGACTGATGTCCATAGACAAATGTCTTTCCACTGGGCTTCTTGTGCAGCCTGTCTTACCTGATTTTGGTGGTCTCAAGGGCCTTATCTGAACAGAAACTGCAGGTGAGTGCACACAGGTGAAATACATAACACTCTATCTTCTTTAGAGAAAGAAATGCCATTTTAGAAATGCCACATAGCCTTTAAAGATTTCTTGCTATTTCTCAAAGAAGAAAAGAATAGAATTGTTCAAAAGAAAGTACATTCATTTTTTAAAACCAAAACAAGAACAGGAGGCTGGACTTTTGATGCTGCAAGGAAAGAGCTGACATTTTCTTTTCTTAGTGGGTTACCCAAAGGCAAATAAGAGCCGGGTGGTGATGGTCAGTGCCATCTGCCATACCAAACGTTGTAGTGGGACTCCTGAAGGCACCACATCTCTGCTTTACGTTAATGTCATTGCTATTACCTTGAAGCAAAATTTCAGACTGCTGATTTGGAAGAGTTATAAAATGCAGATAATGTGGGAAGACTTAAAGCTATGCCAGAATTAGGGTGTAGGCAGGCTTAATTCTGAATTTTTCTGCACTTCTCAATTTCCATTATAAAGATTTAGCCTATAATTTTTAGACTTTACTATTACTGATGTTATTACTTCAGGTTTAGACAATTGTGCTGATGCAGATAAAAGGAAACCTGTAAAAATAGATATTGATTTCCTGTAATGTTTTAGAACATTTTTTAGTGGGGAACTAACTGAAAACACTGCATTAGCAACAGAAAATGCTAACGCATTTGTTCGTGAAGTGTAGGTGTTTTAATTCTATGTGATTCAATCCCAGGTTACAAAACTAATGTGAAAAAAATAATTCTCTTTTAAAATGGCCTCACTGCATAATATTTAAAAAATGTTAGTTAAAGGGCATGTAAGTATTTAATTATATTTTTGCACTCTTTATTCTTTTACAATTGTTAGCATTTTTAAGAAACCTGGGGTTTTAACTGCCTAACGTATGTAAGCAATTTCATGATTCTTCTTATTTTTTAAAATTTTAGAGCTGAAATGTTTTATTACCATATATGTCATGCCCCCCAGAAACTACATTTTCCTTCTCTGAATTCTTTGGAATCCAAACTTCATAGCAGATAAAAGAAACATAGCAGTATTTATAGCCTGTATAATGCTGATGCTGATCTCTGAAGGAAAGTGCTGAAATCTCTGTTCCTCAATATCAGTTTGATGATACTCCACAACAATTTGTCAAAATAATCAGGGTTTTTTCTATACTGTTTGTTCTTTTCTCCTGAAACCAATTCACAAGCTTATTTTTAATAGTAAGTAGAATTGCCTACAATGTATCTACTACAGAGGCCTTTAAAATAAACATTTATAAAAAATTTTGAGTCAGAAAACAAACTAAATTAAGTATGAGTTGTTTGGTTTTTTTTGTCTTCAATAAATATTTGCAACTCTGCCATCTATTATGGAGACTCACTAGATAAACAGGCATTCCAGGGGTTACTGAGCATGTCTGTGTTTCCAGTGCAAAACAAAGTGGAGAATTGGTTTTATGGGACTGAGAGGAAGCATATTCCAGTGACAAAAAAGATGCTCTCTAGCGCACAGTGGAATACAGGGGTATGCACTTAGACCTGAGCCTTTC